AAATTGTAAAAATATCGCCATTAGGTAATTCTAGTTTTCACAAATTGGGGTGATTTAGTGTTTGTCTCTAGTGTTCTTGTCTATAAACGATGTTTCTTCCATGCATTAGGATGCTAATGTTTCAATTACCATGTATAATGTCCTTCCTAACAAGTTTAAATAGTGTTTGAAGGGAATTTACTTTGTAGTTTTACTATCGTCTACCGAAAGAGTAGGCATAGATAGATGATATGATGCCATATGTATTCCTTTTTTTTTGTGTTACCATTTTATAATTCTCAGCCATTTACAGTCATTGCACACGGCTTAGTATTATTATAAATTTGTGTTCTCTTTTTCCGCGTGAATTGTTTACTATTATAGAAAGAGACATTCTTCTTCAGGAGTTGTCATAGGCCAGATCTGCCTTAATAGATTTCTTCTCGTGATTATTCACTTGGCTTATGATTCCAATGCTAATATGTAATTTTCTTCCAACAGGCTTATCCTCGAGCATTTCCTGTGCATCGATTGGTGCTGGAGCACAACCTAGCCAAAGCAGTCTTGTCGAAACTTTATCTCTTGGGAACGAAGAGCTTAATGAGTCTGCCTCTACCTCTTCAGGTGCTGCTGATATTCATAATATAAGCCAGAGGACAGATCAAAGTACTTCAGAGTGGCAGTTGAAAGGGAAGAGGAATGCTAGGTCTAGAAAAGTGGATGTGAACTACGGATCTGCGACATGTGTAGCGGGTCGGAATGTTGATTTAAATTGTGTTGGAGTATCCCTCCCGTCAGATGACTGTGGTTATAGTTTAAAGTCGAGAACGATTGCAGAAATTCAGGTTGATGAGTTCCCTGGTTGGAACAGGAATGTTCCTCACACAGCATCTGAACTGCCTGTTCCTCAGAGGATACTACCATGCCGGCAGTCTCGTTTTACAGTTAACCCGAAGTACGACTCATCAGAATTTTCTCTTAGACACCATAATGCGGGTTCTGTCTTGTACGATGTTCCATTGGCGGTGAATGCTAGCTATCGTCCTCAGCATGTTCCATATATCTCTCTCATGAGCAAGTTAAATGGTCGACCCATCATCGGCCATCCACTTATGATCGAGGTTTTAGATGATGGCTTTTGTGATCATCTGATTTGTGGGTCTGAGTGCTATAGCAGCAGTTCAGAGTTAGAAGGTGATCAGGGTGCAACAAGATCGAGTTCATGTGGGAGGGTTTCAACCAAGCATCTTGTGTTGCAGCCGAGCATCTCACCCAAAATGCAAAAATCAAGGAGGAATGGACTCTTGTCGAAAAAGATCAGGAAGTTGTCTTCACTAACATGTTCCCGAAAACAAAGTGAAGTAGAAAAGAAACTGGTGGTCGAAAAACTACGTGGCCCAGCCGTAGCTTGTGTTCCCTTGAACGTCGTTTTCAGTAGGATCAATGCAGCCTTGGGACCAGCACCCCGTCTTGCTTCAACAAGCAACATATGAAGTTCGTTTTCAGGATCGAAGAGTTGTGGAAAATTATCTTTTATGTAGGCAGCCTGGTTTTTCAGCCGATTTACCGGCACTGTAAATTCTGACTGAAGTTAGAAATCTTCTGTACAATAATTATGCTGTGATATTTCAATTTCATGATAGAATCGCAAGAGTTCTTTGAAAGTAGCTGCTTTGGTAGTGTATATACTGTAACATTTGTTGAGCATAAGCATCCATGAATTAAACATGCTAGAAATAAACCAACCATTACTTTTAATTGAAGGTTAATGAGGGCAACACATAGCCCACTATCTTCTTACATGGTTATGTAGAAGACAAGAAGCAACTAGGATGTTGGTTAAATGGTTGGGGACCTATAGTGCAATTTACTCTTTATTTATTGTTTAAATCAAACCAAGGATAATATTGTCATTGTAAACAAAATTTAACTTTTGAACGATCAAATTGACCGTCACAAAAGTATATTAGCATTTGAAAGATTTGAATTTCGAGGGTTAAAAATCAAATTTTCAAGACCCTATCGTTGCAACATCCAAAGGTTTGAAATTCTACGGTACTACCGGAATCATTTAAATAAAGCTTGGACAAAACTGTCCATGCAATGATCATTATTCATCCAACTTTTAATAGTTTAAAGATAAAGATCAAATTAAATATTAGGCTGATTAAAGGCCCGTTTGGTACCGATTAAAATCCAATTAAAATTGAAAATATAGCCGTTATTGGGCCCACTCGTCTAATAAAAGTCAACAAAAACGGCTAGTTTTTCAATTTTAATCTGATTTTAATCTCTACCAAACGGGCTGTAAGTTTTTTATTAGTTTTATAACTTTTATTGAAAGATGGATTTAGAAAATAATTGTTTGTATTAAAAACCTCTAAAAATGTTTTAAAAAAAAAAAAATCTCTAAAAACATGGGCAATTTCGGCAATTGACATTTCATCACCTTCCTAGGGTTTTAAAGCCCAAGACTAATCAATCACAATTGCATTTCCTCTCAAGCCGTCAGAACTCAACCCTAAAAGCTCCATCCTTTTTTCTCTTAGGTAAATGTACTAATTTTTTTTCTTGCAAAATTCACATTGCACATATATATACCTATTTATATGCTGTGTTGGATTTTTTCCAGGGCACACCGAAAATGGCGACAGTGCCAGGACAGTTGATTTGGGAGATCGTGAAAAAGAACAACTCCTTTTTGGTGAAGGAGTTTGGAAATGGAACTGCCGGTGTCGTTTTCAGCAAGGAGCCAAACAATCTATACAACCTCCACTCGTATAAGCACTCTGGTTAGTACACCTGATTCCTTCTTATTTTTCATTAATACTCTTTTACAGTTCTGAAATTGCGCTGTTTTTTGTTGAATATTTGGTTGAAATTGTGATTTTAGATCCGTGTGCAGTTGCATTCTTTGTAAATGTATGTAATTATATACTCGTTTTGGTTTTTTTTTTTTTTTTGTCTTTTTGTTTATACTTGTTTTTAACAAATGAAATTGCATTACATGTGTAAATGTTTGTTAAGAAGGTTATTACATGCGAATTGCTGTTCTAAAAGTGTGTAATGGTGTGACGTTCCTTTGTTAAATAAACCATTAGAAACTGAAGTGTTTGTGTAAAATTACAATTTTTACCGGGCAATGTTGGTGAGGAAGAAAATTTCTATCTGGGGTTCTGTTTGATTGCGTGGAAAATGTGGGAAGAGAATTATTTCAGGACCTATTTTAGCTTTTTTGTCTTGTGTGTTAGTTAATACTTGTTTAATGAGCATTCTTTCTAGGAAAAAAAATTCAGGAAAAAAATGAATTAGGTAATTGGAAAAATTATTCATCTGAAATATTTGGTCCTTTCTAACGACTTTTGTTGAAAATGAACTAGATGGATATAATAAAGAATTATCGGTTTTTTGTTCCATTTAAAATTACAATATTTGTCCTGATGCACATGCTGAAAAATCATTGTGCATAATAATGAATGTTGTTCTGTTACGTAGGGTTGGCAAATAAGAAGACTGTTACAATTCGACCAGGCAAGGATCAATCAGTGTTGCTCGCAACAACAAAGACCAAGAAACAGAACAAGCCCGCCAGTTTGTTAAACAAGTCCGTCATGAAGAAAGAGTTTAGCCGTATGGCAAAGGCTGTTTCAAACCAGGTATCTAATCTTTACCTAGGTCATTTGTTAGCGAGTTCACTCATCCACCTTGGTAGCTGCTATATTTTTTTATTTTCAACCAGGAACTGGCATGAGAATTTGACTTTATGAATGATCAATTTGTTCGTAACATGTGAATTCCAAGCATTAAGTTCGTAATCCTTAAAAATTAACTCCATAGTCGTTCGTCTTTCTTTCTGGATGCTCTATTCTATTAAATTTAACATTTTAAGCCTTTGCATAATGAACTTGCCCTCTTCACTGTCAAATACAATAATTTGTACTTGTGGGATACATCTGAGTATGGATTGTCAATCCCTCCTCCCTTGTACAAAATATAGCCTGTACCTATCTGATGCTGTGTATCCCCTCCTTTTTCATTCGACAATATTGGTGCATCTGATCCGGTTATTTTTACATCGTTTGTGATATTTAACTATTCCAAGCAATTGATTTGTTACCTATTCATACATTTTATACAATGAATAATTGTATTGCTTGAGAGTGATGGGTGATTGTAACTTTTTTAAAATGTAGGTTGCTGATAACTATTACAGGCCTGATCTGAAGAAAGCAGCTCTTGCAAGGTTGAGTGTTGTGAACAGAAGCCTCAAGGTTGTCAAATCAGGTCCTAAGAAGAAGAACAGGCAGGCTGTTAAGATCCCTGGTAAAAAGTGAAGCAGCCGACAAGTTATCTTGGACTGCTATTTCTTTTGTTGCCATGCTCTTTCGTATGCAGACACCCGAGTACCAGAAGTTTTTGCTACTTCCAATTTTTTTGAACCATCTTCTTAGTCTTAAAGTGATAACGGTTTCTAAATTTGGGACCAAAATAGACATTAATTTCCTATGTGCCTGTTTTTCTTATACGTTTACTTGTGGTTCCTTCAGCAAGTTACAGATGGATTTTACTTATCATTAAGAAAGTAAAAACTAAAGGGTAAAGCTGCTTGTATAGGCTGGTTACCACTTGGTTTGCAGAATTTTGTACATGACAATTTACACAATGGTTTATTAAATGATGTGGCGGGATTTAATTGGATCAAAATTTCATCAATCAAAATAACTTTTCCAATTACATTTTGACGCCATATCATGTAAAACATCATGTAAATAGTTATGTGCAAGAAGCATCTTCTCAAAGTTAAACCTTTGGAGGCAAATCTTGAACCAAGTGGTAAACTAGCGTGCAAAAGTAGCTTTGCCCAAAAATAAATCAGACCCCTCCCACGCCAGCAGCCATTGAGGGAGCAACAAGAACATTTCATTTTGGGAGGCACAAGAAGGGTTTGGATCATCCTAAGATTTTGAGTAGTCTCTGCAATGTTACTTGTAAGCTAACAACGAAGGCTAGGGTATGAAATCTCAAGGAAGAATGCAAACCTCAAGACTTCTATGCTGAGTAATGCATCGGAAATATATATTGTTAAATTCAAATCCATAATCAACCAAATAACCCTTTGAATCTGCAAGCAATATACGAATGATTACTTAAGAATATAATTGTCAAGGTGTGTCGTCATATCCAAATATAACTCAAAAGTTCATTCCTCTAATCAAATATAGAACATCCATGAAATAATTTTGAAAGAAAAAAAGAACTTATAATTGCGAGGTCGAGACTGTTGTGTGCCTTTCTGTATTACGTTCTATTAATGCACAGCTTGCCTCCAATCAATCTCTCTTCTATTCTCAGAAGGAAATTGGTTACTTCTTTTGCTTGTTTGAACAATTAAAATAGCGACAAAGACAGAAGATTGGAGACTTGTTTGATTCCAAATATGTGGTGTTCTAAAAGATTGTGTGTCCTTGCATTTAGGATTTAAGGAAATATTCTTTTATATTTTTCAATCACATGAAAGGGACAAAAGAAAGATCTTGTTGTTTTTAAACAATTTCTCATCTCCAGTGGACTTTTCAGTAGGATTCAAACTCAAATGAAGTTCTGATCATCTGTCACAGGAAAAAAGAACGGATTTTGTAATTTTTTGATCATGCCTTAGTCCTTTCAATTCTTTAATCATGCCTGCAATTATCAGTTCTGCAAAGAGCAAGAGGAATCAGTTGGCATGAATCATAAGAGAGACAGCCATGCATAATTTTTACAGATTTACCACTCTATGACCAGTAAAGCTATTTGTACAGGGATTCTGTACAAACAGTTGCATAACACCTGACCTGTAGAGCACTTCTACATGTACGGGAAAAAAATTTCTGTAAAACATATAGATTACACAAATTAAGGTGCGGCCCTTTTTTTTTGTAATATTTAAATCACGTGGGGCCCAGCCCCATGTGAGAATCGGTAATTTTTAAAGAAGGATTTCTTCTGTTCAAGGAGAAAAATTCACACCCGTGTGGTATTTTTTTTTTGGCCAACACAAATGAAAGAATTTCAAGTGCCTCCCTCTCCAAAACCTTGGCATTTCTCCTGTACACAGCATTTCTCATATACAAAAACAGATATACAATGAACAAGATGTTGCAGAGTAATAAACCAGCCGCCATACACATGGATTGTTACAGGTACTGAGGTACACACACAAAGACAAGCAGAGAGAGAAAAGATAGTGATAGAAAGAAATTTTAGTCACCCATCCATAGCCAAGCTTCTGTCCGAAAGCTGTTATAGTAGAATCACTCGTACTCGAGTAAATTTTGTTTTCAACACGTCTTCTCGTCAACTGAAGTTATTTATTTTTATCAAAATTCACACGTACACAATTATCATAAACAAGAAATGGAAAGACTTGAACCAATCAACGTCCTCTGATACCACGTTAACCTCCCTATTTAAAAATGTAAGCTATTAACTATTAGGGAGATGCATCATATACTTCGAAAAAGCAAAAAGAATTAATCGATTCTGGGAGCTAGTTCAACGCACAGTGGTGGAAGGAGAGTTAATTTTATTTTTTTTAATGACATTTTTATTTCAATATTATTGTATTTTGCGTTTTAAAAAAACCATTAATAATGCAATTTCCAACTACAACTAGCAAATGTATGACGTGCTCATTAGAGAACATATCGTGTTTTCTTCTAAGGTACGACGAGAAATCTCTATTATTCGATTTGCAAATAGGAGTTAAGTTGTACCTCGAAAAATATAAATGAAAAAGCAAATAAAATCCATTGCTTGCTACAAAGAAATCTTTTATTACTTACAATTTATGCCTCCCAAGTTATTTCACAATACCATAAACAATAAATGTTCAAACAATTATAGACTTCCATATATCTAACGTATAAAAAGAAGCAAATACAAGCATCAAGAAGCTGAAACCAATCTAACCTAACCTAACCTAACCTATAAAGTTACATATAACAACTCCCCCGTGTACAGATAATCATATGCCATATAGAATCTTGGATGACAGAAGAATTCTGGTGTGCGTGCATACAGGCATTTTTGATAAATAGCTTATACACAACCTTGGTCTGTCATACTACTGGCAATTGTTATAAACGAAGAAATGACTGCCCCATGTACCAAAGCCCTGGAAAACCAGATAATGAAAGAAAATTAGAGCACTGAGATCTTAACAAAGAGAAACAATGTCTATACAGCAATTTCCAACTGATAGTAACGAAAGTAAAATCTTCTAATTTCTGGCATTATCTTCATTTCATTTACACCTATTTTGGTCGTCTATGCGAGTTTTTCGCTAGAGCACTTATTGGAGATACCTCCAAAATCTTCAACAACATTACAAGTTGTCCTTGAAATAAAACTCAGGCCAGCTTTTGAGTATATTTGATGTTCTTCCTTCATCAGCCATTGACATATTCCCTTCACTCCAGTCTTTCCCAAGCCCCATCACTGTCACAGGAGAACTCTAGCATCTTTTCACAAGTATTCAAAAACTCTTGCAGAAGTATTTCTTCTCCATTGCTTTTAACACTGGTCGAAAATAGGGGAAGGGCATGGAATCCAAGTTTTCTTTTGCCCATTTGACTCTGATATTTTCTCCATGACCACAAATGCACTCAGGTAATTAAAAGGCGAAAAGGATAAATGCGTCTCATCTTTCCACCTTTCCTTTATTTCTTTCATTCCTTTCTATTTTTTTCTTTAGAAGGCCTTTATATATTCCTACGATAGAATGGAGATAGTGATGTATCTATAACTATTCACCAGTACATCAGCTTCGCTTCGTGCAATGACCAAGCTATGTAATAAGCTATTCTACATCCGTTTCTTAATTAGCTGAATAAACACATATTTATCTCCTTGTTTTCTTCATTTCGATTTTGTTTATATTTCTTCTATTGTTATTTTTTGTAATACTGGAGACAATAGTATTAGTAGATGATCCAAATGAGTATCAGCATAATGAACAAAGCTAATATTTGCAAAACCTTCTAAGGTAACAAGATGCAAGAAGTCTGCTTATTCATACAATTACAAACTCCCATCAACTAAATCGTACTTACTCAGGGCTCTCTTTCTGATAGCCAAAATCTGTTGCAGCTTTAAGTGCTTTTTGATAGGTCTGCTTCATTGCTTCCTGCCATTACAAATAAAATGGAATATGAAATCATCTTTTGCATGCAAGAAATCCGAATATTGTAAATGAAAACAAAAACTCGAACACAATGACAATTAACTACATGTTTGGCTAAGATTAAAAGATTTACTTACAAGCAAGTAAATTATTCGTTTTGTTTGTCAAAGTTAGTTTGAAAGTAAATCCAGCCTTCTTGACAGAAAAGGCAATTTTTTCTATAAGATAACTAACCTACACAAACAGGTTTGGGAACAATAAGTAAATGTAAGTTACCAATTCGATTTGGAGTAGAACACAACCAATAGGACTTTTACAATAGCTTATTGCTACTTTTAATTGCAGCCCGCATCACTTGCACTTGCTGATGACTGAAACAGATGGAAAATCTAAAACTAAATATGACCATTAGAGAAAGGCCCCTCTCACCTGTAGTTTAGATTCAAAATCTTCAGGAGACCAGTTTAAATTACACTCTTTTAATTCAAGTTCACCAGCTACAACCTGTAACAAATAACTAAAAATATTTAAGCACATTGTTTTCAAAGAAAAATGGTGGAAAAACAAGCCACAAGTCCATTGGATTTTTGAAGAAGGAAACTGAATAAAAAGCTTTAGCCTGTAGATTGCTCAACAATATGTTTATCTTTCATTTTAGCATGCCCTTCAATCTTTACACGTATGTCATATTCTTGAATCAACCCTTGAACGGTATAATATCAATGCCTAAAAAGATCGGACAACATTCATTCAAACTCAATTCCTTGATAGAAATCAATGTTCTATATTAACTTTATTAATTTTCTGATACAATTTTTTAAGAAAGTAGAGACAGTTAATATCCACCTCTATCACAAAGAGGCTATCTGGTCGAAGAGGCACAATAAATACCATCTGCACCCATTTTTAATCATTGACCTAAATTTGCAACCCTTGACAGTCAAATGAGAAATTTAATCTGGTTCACATGGAATATATTGTATTTATTGAAGGGTATAAGGGCATCTTGTGGCCGTAATATTTTGGGAATAACAAAAACAGAAACCTCTGCAGTTATTGGGTTGTTATCATTTTTGCTAAGTTAAAATTTTGCACAATAGCAATAGGGAAAAAATATCATTTGGGAAGAGAAGCCTCTTTGACTTGAAACAATCCAAGCAAGAGGCTATAAATCTAAGAATACATATCGGTCACCCAAGGAGTATTTAGCCTTGCAAGGTGGTCCTTGTTGATTCAAACGGAATATATCCTCAGAAAAAATGCAATAGAGAAAAAGAAAAAGAAATAAAAAATGATAATTTCCATTATAGAATAAAAAAGTATCAAGAGGTTAACTATAAATTGCAAGCCAAAATTTCAACATCACGTTTCTGAATGAACATAAATCAAGGAAAGGAAAATGGTTTCCATATCCTCGTCTAATATCAAAACTCCACCATCCTTGAAGAATTTAAGAAATACCCAAAGAAAACGGTAAAAGAAAATTGAATGTCAATGTTAGTATCAATACATCCTATGATAGTATTTCTTTATCAAGTATCTTGCTTTTGTGAAAGAGAGTAAAAATAAATCATACCCCTCCCACACCAGCAGCCATAGAGGGAGCAACAAGAACATTTGCCCTCCTCAGAACATCAACTGCTTCAGGGGTACAGGGCATATTTGATCCTGAAAGAAAGATAACTGCTGTTAGTTGCAGTAATAAGACAATGACACGTGCTTATGACAGGAAAGGTGATATATAAGAATAAAAATAAAAATATAACAAAATAAACGCAGTCCTGGACATTACCTTCTACAAGTATACGACAACCTGAGTTTACCAAATTGATGGCATCGGATTGGTAAATTTCATTTTGGGAGGCACAAGGAAATGCGACATCACACCTTTCACTCCAAGGCTTTGCATCATCATAGTACTTTGAGCGAGCATAAGTTTTTGAGTAATCTCTGTGAATGTTACTTATAAGCCGACAACCAAAGGCTGAGGTATGAAATCTCACAGGAAGAATACAAACCTCAGACTTCTATGCTGAGCTTTAATGTCTCTCAAGAAAGATATTTTCATAAAATCAAATCCATCCTCATCCACCAAATAACCCTTTGAATCTGCAAGAAATATACGAATACTTAGAAAATCAAATGAAATTGAGAGCAAAATACTAGAATTCTCTGCGATCTCATATCAGTCATATGAAAGCAACAATAGCAAAGATAACAATTCATGCACAAAATTGCAGGTTATGACTTTAAACTCCATCGTTCAGGCATACAAATGCAACAAGTTGACCCTACAATATAACCATCCACATATTTCTAGTTCCATCATACTTCGGTAGTTCGCTTGAGTTTATTTCAAGAGAAAATATGTTATGAGAAAGAGTAATGCTATTTATCATAATGATGATGAAACATCACTCATTTGTCAATCCGTTGTCCCTCACATCTCACTCTCTCCTCTCTCTCATAAAAATTGATCTGCCTCTATTATTCCACATAAACTGTCACATCACCAATGTTACATCATCATAATGATAAATAGCATTATTCTATGAGAAATACTTATTCACCTGAAACAGTGATGGGAAGAGCACCATAAGCAATAAGCTTCTCGAGGACATGCATTGCTATCTTTCCAGAACCACTAACTATACATCTGGATTAAGAAAATATAATTGTGTCTTACTCAAAGTTCATTCCTCTAATCAAATATAAAACATCCATAAAATAGTTCTTGAAAGAAAAATAAAAGAAACTTTTAATTGTGAGGTCGAAGACTGTCATGCCTTTCTCCATTACATTCTATTAATACACAGAGCTTACCTCCAATGAATTTAACCTTAACTGAAACCAATCTCTCCTCTATTCCCAGAAGGAAATTGTTTACATTTTTTTGCTGCTTTAAACAATTAAAAATAGTGATAAAGACAGAAGAATGGTAACCACCAAAAGGGAAATTCTATTAATGATATAGACTAAGTTCTCATTGATTTGATATTAAAAAGGTAAAAGTGTCAAACCTTAGTCCTTTCAATTCTTTATTCATGTCTGCAAGTATCAGTTGTGCAAAGAAAACCTGCAAAGAGCAAGAGGAATCAGTTGGCATGAACCATAAGGGGCCACAAGAAAGACAGTTACCACTATATGATACACAAACAGATATACAAGAAAAAGAGTTGCAGAGTAATTGTTACAGGTACACATATAAAGAGAAGCAGAGAGAGGAAAAGTAGTTATAGAAAGAAATTAAGTCACCAATCCATAGCCAGTAGCCTCTGTCCGAAGGCTGGAGCCAGACCAGTTCACTCTCGGCCCTGTAAAACTTCCCTGCATAATAAGTAAGGTGTGATTATGAATTCTACTAAAATGAAAACTAGGATTTATTGTCATAGTATACCAAGAGGACTGCATGGAACATTCATAAATTAAATATCACAAAAACGCTACTTATGTTCGAGTATACCAAAAATTGTACGTTATGAAACTTAAAGAATATGTATAATCCTATCCAAAATATATGCACATGCTATGTTTAAATTACAAAACACCAGCATCAACATTCTACATCAACATAAGAGCATAAATAACTTTTACTAGAACTTCAGATCAATAAATCAAGTTTATTAGTCTTGTACCATAAACAAATTAATCAGTATTAGTTGTGATATACTGCCATGATGGCCTGGTTCATTGCAGAACGAAGGGCAAAAGCCAAGTCTTCAAGAGGTCAATCATTTCATCCCAAATGGCATGTACGGTTTAAATTAATCCACAAATATCTAAAATGGCCACACAACCACATTGCTTGGTAAGACAATTCAACTATCTGAGGCATTTCATTGAAATTTGAACGGATGATGTAAGTAAAACGAAAAGTTCATCAACATTGGATAAATATTAACAAAATGCAAAGTCTAAACCTGAGAGTGACCAGCCAGACGTCGATATTGTCCATACAAATAACCCATTTCACGAGTACCAACGCCCATCTCTTCTGAAGGAAGATCCTAAAACAAACGACAGAGGTCAGATCATATCTTAGGAGACTGAAAGACTTAAACAAATGTCAGAATGGAAACCTTCCTTCGATACCTTGTCAGGACCCAAATAACGATAGAGCTCATTCATGAAACTCTGACAAAACCTCATGATCTACGCAAGAGGATTCATGAATCGAAAGGAAAAGGTCAGTAGTTGTAAAGAGTTTCATCTTTAGAAACTATTTTATTGTACCATAAACACAACACCTCATTATCACTTCTGCCTTTAGGATCAAAATCACTTCCACCTGAGGAGCCTCCTAGTCTGTATGGAGATAAGGCATTTTTTAAAGTCTGCATAGAAGGAAAGAACATAATATTATAAACCAACGTCCCATATATAACACATCACAAAGTTCCCAAATTTCTAGTAACCAGTTTGTTTGTACAGAGATTCTAGAGAAGTTACAAAGGAAATTTGGATAGACAATATAGCGATATTAAAAACCTGTTCAAAACTAAGAAATTTGGCAATACTCAAGTTCATCACTGGATGAAAACGAAGACCACCCCTGCAAGGACCCAATGTCTGATTAAAGTGAACTCGATATCCACGGTTGATATGTGTCTCACCCCTATCGTCCATCCATGGAACTCGAAAGATAATCATACGCTCAGGTTCTAACAACCGCTCCATTGTATTCACATAGCTGCAGTATAGTAAAGCCACTTTGTAAAATTATTAGATAATGAAAAGTTTCTTCAAATGGGTCATTCTTGAAGTAAATTACTTGGAATTTTTTGAAATTACTCTTTCTAGAGCATGAACCACTTCTTGAACAGACTGTATGAACTCAGCTTCATGAGGATCTCTTTTCAATGCAGCTTCAACAATTGATCCAGCCGTTTTTGACATAAGTGCTTTAATGAGGGTTGACCCATTGTACAAAAAGCCAGAAAAATTAAGTGGTTAGCAAAAAAAAAAAAATTGTAGATCGTGGCATATATAGATGAAAGTCATGAAACTTGCAACTTAAATCGGTTGAGTCTAGAAAAGACATCCTATTTATAGAGAAATAAGGGGTGTTCAACTAAACAAAATTCATAATATACATGAAGATGAAGACTCCTAGTTATATAGGAAACAAATGTAACCATCAATTCCCCTTGTTTCCTTTATACTACAAGATTTGTCAACAAGCTTAAGAAGCTTGATTTCCATCAAATTGGAAGAAAAATTGTTATCAGATCATCTACGTTCAACCCCAGCCAAATAGATTGCATAGAACGGTATATAAGTTCTGCAATAAGAATTTAAAAGGTAGAATAAGGAAGAAAATAAAAACCAAGCTAAATGTAGTTTCAAACTTCAGGCTCTCCTATCATGACTAATCATGTTTGCCAACACATTTTGATATCAAAATAACGAAGAAACAAAAAGAAGAGTTCTGTAGTCCACAAAATGACAAAGTTTTACATATCTTCACAAAGAACGAAAAGTGGAGAAGACACAAGTGCAATTATCTCCTTTGCAGCTTCACAATTTTATGTACCAAGAAAAATCATATCCAGGAAACAGAAATACAAAGATCATATAGTGAACATCAGAGAGAGGGGTTGCTAGTGTCAAATAACTTCTCTCAACCCAAATGAAGGAAAACCTTTAAAAGAAATATAGCGTAAAACAAATAGGAACTAACCTTTCACATATATTGGTTTATCGACAATTATCTTCTCTTTAGAGGCTTGTTGTAGTCGGAGAGCTTCTTTGTGAAGCAAGCTATTGTTGTGCTCCTCCAATGCACTCATCTGCATATTCCTACTGCCTTCATTTCCATAAGGGTTCCGCCTATGCTTTCTGCCATACTCCCTGCAGACAGAGCAGAATATCCTTGCCGTTCCATCCTTCACATCAACATAAGCCCACTTATACGTATCAGCCCACTCCTCTCTCCATCTTTTAACAACTTTCTTTTTCCTTTTAACTGGTTGTGTCCTCGACAAATTCTGCTCCTCATTCGGAAGTTGAGAATCCATCATCTGCTTGTTTTCACTAAGCTCTTCAGTGGAAGAATCCTGGGGCTGAACGCCAAGTAGAGGATTGTGTGCAAAAGTAGGATCGTCGTCACCATGTCCCAATTCCAGATCAATTTCTTCTCCTAGATCGCTGACCACAATGTGGTGCCTCTGAGCCTGATGGATTAAGTTCATATCATCCATTGTAGAAGTAATCCCTAGCCCACCAGATGGCAGCGACATTCAGCATTACAATTCAGCCTGCAGCTTAAGATATTCATTTTCTGTTGAACACACACATACAATGACTTAATTGGGTAAAACAGCACCAGGTGAAAAAGTACTCCCTCCATGGAGGGTTGGGTCTATGACCAAAATGGCCTCATTTCCGTTTTCAGATGTCCACAAATAATGAATTCTTTCCAGGAATAGTTTTTTCTGTTCAGGAAGTGCCCTTACATGCATGACAGACTCTTAACAGGTTCTTGGCTATTTGTCTTGAGGATACACATGAAAAGTTAAATCATATCCTGACTTTTCAAACCTCGCCTAAAACCTTGTACACATTCAAACTAAGCATTCAATTGCAAAGAAAGGCTGTAAAACATCACAACAATCAGCATAGATCATAACTTTGAACCACTGATAAAAGGATAGTCATATCCTACTTTTCATCCTCGAACTACATGGAGTTTATCGGGCACAATCATTCATACAAGCATGGGAATCAAAAAACAAAATACTCTTTCCGACACAGACACAAGCACAAGGATGCGTTTATTGTTATATTTCGTAGGGGGGAGGTTACGTGCCAATGTTAATAGATGTCGCCTGAAAAATGTTATGGTGATGGTGTTACTAAAGACAATAAGGAAAAGCACACTACCATCTTATTAATGTTTAATAAAACGATAGTCCCTGAAAGTGCCACTTTAATCCTTGAATTTCAATTTGAGGATTTGATCCCTGAGCATTGGAATTAAGTTTTGAAATGGGTAGAGCCATCAGAAAAAAAGAAAAAGTTAACCCTGCGAGTTGACCTCATATCCCTTTAATGATTTTCCATCCATACTGACAACATTACCTGATAGACCATTAAACACCAATCCAAAAATTTGGAAGAAATTAACGCAAGGGGTGCATCAAAAACCTATTCTACTATTTCCTAACTAAAAACACAGAACCTTACTTCCTTTTTGATAATGGCCATAATAACAAGAAATGTTCTCAATTTACATCGTCAACGTGTGCAGCTACTATGCTATTCATTGGCTACGCTAATAATCTTTTAGCTCTTTGAATAACTACATCAACATGTGTAACCATCAAGGTACTCATGGCTCATGCAAACTACTGATCCCACCAAACATTTTTAAGAGCCCAACAAGTGACACTTGAGAAGGCAAATGAATCTCCTAGAAGCAGTCACTCAAAAAGAACACTTCCATACAAATAAGAAGAAATAGAAAAGAGTATGAACAATATTTCGACATTTAGCAACAGTGATCGCTGATAGAAAAAACTCAAGTCAAATTTTCCACCCAATTTTCCTGGTTCTACACTTCAATCAGTTGTATGTTCACTTTCATTGCAAACCCAAAGAATAATAAAAACTCCAGATATGCAAAGGAAAAATAATAGCTTTATTCAAATATGTTCTCGAAACGCAACCCAACAATACGAAGAAATCTTCACATTCAGAAAAAGTACACTTAAACAATCAAAACAACCCCACGTTTTAAAACCAATCATTTCCCCGAAATGAAGTAGCGTATAGGAAAAACCCTCGTACAAATTAAGTTTAAGACAAAACCCCATACAAGAACCCAATTCTTTAAAAGGGGAACAAAAAAAAAGGCTTGTACAGTTGTACCTGTGTCGACCTTTTAACGCTACATGGGCTTTAATAACATGAGGGATCGTTCTTGAAATGAACAAATTAAATGGATTTTAATCAGACTTTGTCTTCGTACAAATGATCAGTTCTTACACGGAAAAGTATAGGGTTTCGTATTCGTGTGATCCGGGTAGTGAGGGAGAGGGTCAAAAGTGAAAAGGAACAATAATTATGGAGTCAAAAAGGCAATTTGGTGAAATTCTTTGGTGGAGAGAAGTTACGTTAGTGCGAGAAAGATGGGGTTAAGAGTGATAAGGGACTGTAATGGCCGAAAATGGCAACTTTGTGAGGAAGAAAGCAATAATAGAAGAGCACTGTTCTACTTTTGGTTCCATCTTTTTTCCTCTTTTCTTGTACTCGCGAAGTTGCTATTTCAGCTTTCATTTCCAACTGAAGTCGCGTTTTTCATAATTTTTCACAATTGAATATATATAATAAAATATAAAATATTTGCTTCTCTCCAAAGATGGAAAACCGTACAATAAAGCTACTACACGCACAAGAGACCATATATAAGTCAAAATAAGTCATTATATATTATTTTATTTTTTTGAAAAATAATGGATAAAAATTGCATAAGAAATAAAGAAAAATTATTTGACGACAAAAATAATATGATAGAAAAAATCTTGCAAAAAGATAAGAAGATGGTTTTTAAAAGCATATGACTAGATTTTCAACGAGATAAAAAATCAAACATTTCTCCTAGGAAGCATTCAAAAGCACGCTACTCATAGCGAGCGAACATAATTTGAAGAACCTACCTCGCAATAATACTCTTTAAATACACTTCACGTCCGTCATTTAAGCATTTTTGGCAAATTTTATAAATCTTTTATAAATTCTCAAACTTCATTTTCTACCATGCATTTTAATGAATTCACAAGTACTATCCATCACTTATTTCTATATATTTATAAGCTCAAGTTCTTGCAACTTCCATCCTACCAGCTTCCATAAAAAACAGAACAAACTGATGTAACTAATTTCTGCACCAATTGTATCGATGAAAGTTAGTTACATGTATAGACAGATAAGATACAACTGTAATTGTTAGTTGGTTGGTTAGTTAACTTCATTTTGTATTTATATGAACTGATTGTATAACTTCATTTTCAAGTAATATGAATTCTCTTTTAATCTTCAATTCTCTCTCAATCTTCAATACAACTCTCAATTTTAAACTTCCAACTTTTAAGATTTTAAGAGACGAGGAAGGCAGGAAGCTTGGTCTAAAAAATAGTGATAAGAACTCTGGTTCAACGGACAACGATGTCAAGATGGCTGAGGTAGAGGTATGTTATTAATCTGATCATAGAACAATTGATAGAAAGAGATCCATTACCCTGTTCAGTTCCCGCTTATGAAAAAACTGGATAAATTAATCCTGAGTAGAACTGTCTAAAAGTTCTTGGTTTCACGAATTTTTGTTTGGGTAAATTCCATTTGTGATAACTATGCTTTCACTCAATTTCAATCATGTAAACTTCTGTTTTGTTCAATTGGGTAACTACATCTCTATTTGTTTTCAATTAGGTAACTTCCTCTTATTGTGTCACTTGGACTAACGAAAATTAGTTACACAGCAGTTAGTAAATGATGCGTGCCATTTATTTCAGTGAAGTACTTGTTTCACGTCGGCAACTAATGGTTTTGCGTAATAACCATCATTTATTGACTGTCATATCATCGATTATCGTTAGTGGAATTGACAAAGTTACCTTAACTAAAATCAAATTAAAGTGTGGTTAACCGTTTGAATCATATTAAATTGTAGTTATGCGATTGAACAAAAATGAAATATATTTACTTGAGTGAACTACAGTGAAAGTATAGTTACCGCAAATGGAATTTACCCATTTTTGTCTACTTGTGTAGGCATCATCAAATAGAAATGGAGACCCTTCTAAATCTGAACTTGTTGAAGGTAATGGTCTTTTTAAAAAAATTATTCTATTTATAGTTTTGACATAAGTAGTTGATCAGACTGAACCATTGGAAAAACTTGATAATTTGCTGGTCGAACGAACCATTTGTAATGTAGGCCATAGCCCACGAGAAATCCTTGCACTGTTTCATGTTTAGATTTTCCAGAAAAATTCCGTAATAGAGAAGAAGGTTATCTACAGCTAAAAAACCCCGTCTTCTGTAGTTTGATGAGTTTATATTTCATTTCAGATGCTCCCGGGAAGGAAAAGGCACTAACAGGAATATATGATTTGGTTGCTGTGCTGACACACAAGGGTAGAAGAGCTGATTCAGGGCATTACATTGCCTGGGTCAAGCAAGAAACTGGTTTGTCCATTAAAAGTTCTTAGCCTGATATTATCCATCTTGTTGGACTTGGGTTCAACTAATCTCTCTCTCTCTCTCTCTCTCACGCGCACATGCATGCATGCACTCGTTTTAGGATACATCTGGTAGTATTGACAAGACTAACAGCGCGAAAATAAAATTTTATAGGGCCAGTTTTCTGAACAGATACTTGATTTCTGAGACAAATGCTTATTTTCTTTCAGGTGATTGGCATATGGCTTACATTTGCATGTACAAAGCTCGCGATGTTTCCATGCGATCTCCTCTTTAGTTCAATTAATCATTTGTTGTTTACGCCACATCTCAATTCGTGTTTTTTCCAACAACTAGATGAAGGTTTCTGGACATGTATACTCCGTTGTTCTTCAAGCATGTTTAGCACTCGTGTTTGTTGTCATCTCCCCCACCTCATCTCCTTTATTTAACTGGTCGTGTATTGTGAATTTGTGATCCATTTTAAGGTGCATCTGTGTTGGCCGCAAAAATAGTTGCTCAAAAAAAAATAAAAAAATTATTACAAGTTCTACTTCCAATTCTTATACCAAATTACCAATATTCAGATACCAATCCTATGCAACATTATACACTGCTGAATTGTTTCCCGCCTGAAAAAGGTTAGCTTGTCAAATTTATACTTGATAAAAAACAATTATTTCGTGTTTCAAACACAATGATTGAAGATGTTGATTTTTATGTTCTCAGTCTAAGAGAATTCATGTGCTTGTTTTGTAGTGTTTTTAGTTGTTTATAAGTTGCGAATTTTACGGAGTGTTTAGTTAAGTTATGGGTCCTACAGAATGCATTGGTAAAAAAGTGTTTTTACAAGTTCAAATTATAATTTAAACTTTGTTAGACATGCTTCATAACTATGGTAAGTGTGCTTCTTGTGTATTTCGTTGTTGTTACATTAAATGAAGGACCATGCTACATCCATATTAAAATTGACAGAGTGGTTTACACTCATATGAGTTATCAAATTTTGACACCTGCTGTTGCCCGAATCTTCGTAAAATTTTGAAAACTAACGTACTAGAAATCAGAAGAGATGACGAAAGTACTGCATTTTACATGGAACATAGTCAACCATCTGAAACTTGGAAGCCTAAGAACATGTCTCACAGCATTCGCAGCAGAAGCAATTCAATTTTTCCATGCAATATGTAAAAAATCGACTGAGGCCGGAGCTTGAATTACTTTCACAAATTAAATATCAAACGAAAATCTATAACGCGAAGCAGACCAAAATCATTCCACACAAAAGAAAACATTATGCTATCAAAGAAAAGTTAATAAACTTGATGCCCTGCAAGTTAGCAGCACCTCCTTTTTCCGAGAAGATTTTCAAGTCAGACACTACATATACCTTAAAACTAGGTACAGTCCTACAATCACATTCTTTCCCGTCTATCTTTTTGTTTTTGGGCGAGGTAAAAAATATAAGAAATTAACGATGGAGCAGAAGAGGCCAAGTGATGGAAGAAAGCTAACCGGAGCAGACAGTAACGAAGACGAGTTGGTACATTGAGAATCCGACAACAGCCACTTCATGTGCTAACAGATTTACGAGGCACTTGGATATGAGAAATGGGAGAGCCTCTATTTGGTTGCGGAAAAAACATCGTTCAATAGGCAATCCAAAAATGTCGACCAGGTTTCAGTACTGATATTTATGCGTAATACATGTACAAGCTGTTCGCCGCAGCACAGGCAATTGAGTTTCCGGTTGGGTGCCATGCCAGGTGGAGCAGTTTTGTTGTGAAATCAAATGAATTCCCATTGGCATCGACTCCGGGACTTTCTGCACCTGTAACCGTTATCCGATCTTTCTTTAGGGTTAAGAGGGGAAGAAGAATAAATGGGATTAAAATACACTTGTGTCAACAGACTTTTAGCTAATTCACTTTGGTCACTAAACATCAATTTGTTCCAAGTTGATCGCTTAGCTTAAATTTTGGTCATTCAACTTAAAGATTTGTTAAAATTTAAACACTTCAGTTTGAGTAACAAAATAAGCTACGTGGCTTGGCAAATAATCAAGACTGCTGTGTCACCTTTTTTGTTAGTGAAACTAATGCTCATAGCTGGTGTAACCAGAGTGTAAGGCACAAATGATCACCAGTGTACTTAACCCCATTCAAATGTCATCAAGAAAAGGAGAGAGCATATACCTCGCCTGACAACACGAGTTATGCTGCTGCTCAAGGATCTTGAAGGCCTTGAAGGTGTCTGGACTTGTCGTCTGAAGGATCACATTGTATATTTTCTTAAACCATGAAATATAGACCATAAATCAAATCCATGACCAATATATAAAAAGCGACAAAAATACCTCATAGGATTTTTGCTTGCCTCTAGTGTGGTTGCTTCAGTACTTCCAGCAGCACGACCAAACACCCGGAATAGATTGCTGAGATCAATTAAGTGAATGTTCGTCAAACATTATAATCGCTTATAAACTGGTCAAGCTTTATTTTTATGCACATATTCCATAAGACCCACAACTTTTACCTATTTTTTGACCACACATTCCTTGGGACCCATTAGTTATAAGTAATTATAAGCTTTGACAAACATGTACTAAATGTTTTGTCAGATGCAAAAAAATTTGAACAGATGTGATGCAACTAAAAAGAGAAATCTGAGCGTACCTGTAAGAACCAGTTGCTACTCTTAGACCATCACCACTCAGGCAACACTCAAATTTGTCAAATATGGAATCATTCTCGTATAAGTCACATAGCTGGACAATATCAAATTATAATCTAATATCATCAAAATAAAACAATCTTTGCACCAAATTGTAAGATAGAATTTTTTCAGAAAAGGGTATCTCACCTTGGGTTTTAAATACTCGTGAACCTGAAAGGTAGCTACAGGTCCGGAATCCATATTAATGTCCCATAACTGAAACCATTTTGAGCGTCAAGCGATGGACCAAAATTTAAGTGATACACAAAATTGTATACTACAAAAGCCAATCATGCAAAATAACTATGCATCTTCTTAAGAGCAAAACAGATGACGGGAGCCTTCTACTGTCAGCAAGTAAAATATAGTCAAATAGGTGATTGCGAGGAATTGTTTCCCACTGCTAAAGACATGCTTCTTAAAAAATATGTAACTTCAAGATTAACTTTACTACATGCCTGACTATAAGCAAATTATATCTGTTTGTCCTTGCTCCTGAATAACTCTTACAAAATGCCTACTGTGATATACTTGCTAGACTAAGCAGAACGCACAAACAAGATATGTCCAGGCAAAAACCATAAACAGAGTGACGGCTTATAGCAAAACAACATAATATATACATATGAAGCTCAGAATGAGTAAATAAGTACATAAGATAAACCTTAAGGGTCATGTAGTCACGACTAAGTAGATATCTCCCATCCTTCGCAAACTTAATATCTGAAATTGAAGCTATTATCTCAGTGAAAAATGATCTTGAACCAGGTGGCTCCAGTTCCTCAAATCTGCACATGAATAGTAGATCATTACATAATAAATACGAGCATTTGATAGCAGTGTGGAGGAACCTACAGCACAATGTTAGACTTCCTATACGGTACAAAATTTACACAATTTGTTTCGTCATAAGCAGAAAATAAAGCAGTAGTGAAGCACTTACAGTTTAGAATGTGAATCTACCAAGGCTGATTGCCGCAAATCAACTAGACGAATTGATCCTTTTGAACTACTATACGCTAACATGTTACAATGAGTAGGATGAAACTCTGCGGATGTTATGACCTCTGCAATAAGAAATAAGTTGATCAGGGGAGGAAAATGATCAGAGTACCAGTCATTCTTGAAACTTTAATAATATGATTAGTTGTCTAAAAAATTAATACCACAAGAAGAAGGAATAGCAAGATCCATTATGTGAATATGTTCAAGCTACGTCCTTTTTTATTCTGCTTGTTACTGCTCAAAGGAAAAACCAGCACTGTACCTACCATCTAGTCCGTTTGCAACCTTTGTTTCTCATATCGCATGTCCGTAGTTGATGTTCTCTGAACTATTCTTATAGACCGAATTTGGGACCTCTGGTACATTATTCTCAGTTTCTAAGATGGGAACGGTTTCCCCAAGCCCCCCCAACCCCCTCTTCAACAAGGCTTTTTTTTTTTAAATGACATATGCTGTTCATTTTTTCTTTTACTCTTTTGCAAAGACTTTTACTGCCAAATGGTTGGCATTGATACGAGATTCAGTCCAAAACTTGTGTCCTAATCCCTTTGTGGAAAAACTAGAGAATAGGAAAGGTACACCCTTTACTCTTTCCTTTTACATGATTCCTGTGAAAGCTGATTAAGATTCCATAGCTGAATTCTCGTTGAATAGTGAAAGAAAAGGCAAGATAAGACCTTAGACCTGGCCTTTAATTGAGCTTGATTTTCCAACCAGGGCAAAAGCACTTACCAGTTAGATCTTCCATATTTGCTGGCTTCACGTCTACAATGTTGAAACTTTGATTGCTTATTTCCAAGTTCCAAAGATTTATTCGCAGATCATCAGCTGATATAAATGTTTCACCATCACTGGAAGCCATTGTAATCAGAGAATATCCAAACAAATCACAAAACACAAAAGAAAAAGATCATACTGGCACCCACAATGGACAATTAAAAAAATTTCTAGAAAATGTGTTAAAAGCACTTCTTTACTGCCATCTAAGGATTGTCCTCTCAGCAAATCATGCCGCATAAACGTAAGAAATCACAGAACCTCTAGGATCAAATGTCCTTGTGCACACTCATGCCTCCAGGATCACAGTTCTCCCATTTCCAACCACATATGATGAACCTATCCACCCAATATTGGACCCAATGTATAATATTTTTGACCTATGAAATTTTTTCATACGAAAACTATATCATATACCATTAAATACTTTCACTTTCCCCTACTTTTTTGGCTGAAGAGTGTCGAAATAGAGGGCTGGAATTAATAGCACCACTCTACATCACAACACGTCCCAACAGTCAAAGCGCGCATTACGTCAAAAGAAAATGGAATTACAAATTGGGAGACTGCAATCATTAACAATTGGAAAAAATACACATTCTCACCTATTGTTAGAAATAGAATTGATGTGATAGTCATGTGCATGGGCATATATTCTCCTACATCTCGCAACAAGACTGGTCTCAAAGCTTGTAACCTACAGATCATGCTCCAGAGTTACAAAGATGCCAATTGCATACAAAGTAAATAGAAATACGCTGCATTAAGCAACAGTAAACCTGAAATCTGAATGTTCTAAGCTCTAAAGGACCAAATCCATTCACAGTTAAGAAAGTCTTTAACTTCATAAAAATGCAAAATTACACGGAGACAAATATATATAGTATTAAGTTGTGTAATAAGTTGATATGTGCATAAAAAGGGTTTAATTTTTTTTAGTAGTTATCTAATTTTCATCCAAAGACCAAGATTGAGTTCCTATTACACAATGTGTCTTAAGTTAGAAGTATAAAACTAGTCACAAGCATGCATATATATATATATATATAGAATGCATAAAAGAAGGATGGATACTATAGATATCCTTAGTAATGTAAGTAAAATATAGCTTGGTAAAGTATAACTACCACTGGTAATTTGAGGGGTGGGATGGCCCCAGGTGGATATGATGCGTCATTGCACAAAGAATTGTAAGATCGATCTGGACATCCTCCATTAGGAAGATACTGCTTAGGACTGGGAGAAAAACTTGAACTGGCAATACTGCCGTTTCCAGCAGATTTGGAAGGCTCTACATTTATTTCAGAAATTTTCTTGACTTTTTTCTCTTGGACCTGTTTAAATAAAACACAAGGATTAGAATCATCAAGTAACTTACTGAAACAGACAGTTATGAACGATAAACAGTGACCAACTAAAACTGACGACTCCCTTTAAAACTGGGCAAAAGGGAGATAGCAAGTGATATGAAACCTTAATTGACAGAATACTGATCATAGAACATGACATTTGCAACAACATAATAGTATACCTTCCAGTCGGAGTTTGAAAGCTTAAAAATAAGAAGTATCAAGTCTTGCCTTGTAAATACAATGACAAAAAGAAAAACCTCCTGGTACCAATCATATCTACAACTGAATACAATCTAAGACCAAAAACATTTGCAATATCTATGAAAATCTAGCCCCTGTTTGAGCCCCATTATCCAATAATTCATTTTTTCTCGTACTCATTTTCAATCACACATTTTACCAATAAAATAATTGACATATAAACCCAATTTTTTTTTTTTTACTTTTTAATCACACATCCTCCAAAAATTCACTATTACAAAACTTATGTTAACATAAAAATGGGTATCAAACAGGGCTTAGACGACACACTTGCTACTAACGGAAGAAAGCCCAAGGCACATTGCCTTAAAAGTAAAACCACTGATCTTAATGTACAATTGCACTTAGAGACCAGAGAGAACAAAGCATTTATCAGGTAATAACTACATTTCTTAATCTAACCTGAAAAAGGGAGTGCAGAGAGAAAGGAAAAGGGAAATAATAAAATCCAAGACCATGATCAGATGCAATAAGAACTAAGAGTATCAAAACATTTTGTTTAGTCTATAACTTCCATTTTACTAGCATGAATATAATGCGCTAAGAACATGTAAAATATACACCTTTTCACACCATAAATAAGAGTAATGACAAAAAACAAAGTGAAGTTAGACATGTCACCTTCCAAAACTTGATGGTTTTGTCATTAGTGGAAAGAAGAAAGAGCGCACCGTTAGCTGCGTTACACCACCGTATCTTATTGATTTTCTCCTCAATTTCCAAACTCTTGAGATAATCAAACTACACAAAGAAGATATAGATGCATATGAAATTAGTTATGACACTCTATTCGCAGGTTTGGTGGTGGTAACAGAAGAAAGATTGGTGGAGATGCCTTTTCAGTTAGTCACCCATTTACAATGGAACTTTGTGTAAAATTTCAAGAGTGGAAAGATGCATTATTCATATCACATAGGTGGCATACCGAAAAATGATGAGATGATTCAACAAGTAAAGAAAATAAGTACCTCAGGTTCATGGCTCTGAAATTCGGTTTTGTAGTGAAACTCAGGATGCCGACTCACTGCATAGTCTGTCCTCTCTAAATCTCTTCGATTTCCACCATGCTGCAAATTGAAATAGCAACAGGAAATGATATGGCGCTAATTGGCTACTTTTTTTATACATCCTTTAGCTACCAGAAACTGACCTCTTTTGTATCAGTCCTTTCAAATAACACCACCCTTCCCCCACGGTCACCAGTAGCAAGATGGTCACCAGTTCTATCAAACTCAATCGCAGATATAATATCAACTGCAAAATTTAAAATAGACAGAGATTACAAATCTCAATTCCATGTTCTGAATCATAAAATTATACTGATACAATGTAACCTCCGAATCCATCTATTCATTGGCACCCACACTAAAATGACCAAAAAGGCAGCTAAAATCTTCAGATATACCATCAAGATATATAATAGAAGATATTCTCTGCGCAATACTTGAAAATATAATACAGAAGAATTTATGACGTGAACCAATTATGTTTAAACACTGAACCACATATACCTAGTTCTCTTTGAAATTTTTTATGCCATATGATACAGTGACAGTAACTTTTTTTTTTTGATAGATAATCAGAAAATTTATTAATCAAATAAGAATACACAGGAAGTGTATTATCAGTTTAAACAAGAAAGAAAAGATATGAAGTTAGGCAGCCCCTCTATAGGATTGCTAGTCGCTGCATTAAACCAAGTATACAAAGTCAGATAAAATAATTCTCTAAATTGCTCTGTATTCCGTGTTTGGTCTTCAAAGCATCGGTTGTTCCTTTCCCTCCACACACACCAAACAATGCATCCCGGGATAAGATTCCATACTAGCTTGCTATTCTTATCACGAAATTTCCTCCTCCATGCACGTAACACGTCCTCTATACGTCTTGGCAACACCCAATCAATATGTTGAGAAGCCAGAATACTGTTCCACAGCCAACGGACACCGTCACAGTGAATGAATAAGTGGTCATGCGTCTCCCCATCACTCCCACACATATAGCACCACTCGGTAACATAAAAGCCTCTTTTTCGGAGATTATCCATCGTTAATGCCTGTCCCCTCACAACCGTCCAAAGTAAAAATGCCACCCGTGGGGGCAATTTGCACTGCCACACCATCATCCAGGGGAATGAACTCTCCACAGGTCTCAAGAGAGATCTAAAATAAGAGCGAACCGAAAAGATACCATTCTGTGCCAGCCTCCATCGGCTACAATCCTCCTCTCCTACCCGAATTTGCACCTCATACAAATCTGTTAGAAACAATGCATAGTCATCCAATTCCCAATCCTGCAGACCCCTATGAAAAGTGATATTCCAACTGTGACTCTCATTGTGCATGGCCAAAACGTCATTCACCATAGCAGAAGGCATCATAGTGATGCGATGCAAGGAAGGGAACCCCAACTTCAGCGGTGTATCTCCACACCAACAATCATCCCAAAATCTAATATTATTACCATTCCCCACTACAAAAGTCAAGCTATTTCGAAAGTCATTCCATCCTCGTCGAATATACCTCCATAGACTCACCCTGTGAGACCCGCGACCCTCACTCGAACACCATCCCCCTTCCATCACGCCATACTTCGCCCCAATAATTTCTCTCCAGAAACTCTCCCTCTCCACACCAAACCGCCACAGCCATTTGCCTAATAATGCCTTATTAAACAAAGTAAGCCTCCTCAATCCAAGACCCCCCATCCTCATAGGAGAGCAGATAACTCCCCATTTAACCAAATGAAGTTTCCTTTCCTCTCCCAACCCTGCCCAAAGAAATTCCCTTTGAATCCTCTCTAATCTGTTAGCCACTGCAGCAGGAATGGGAAACAGTGACATAAAATAAGTAGGGATATTTGATAGAGTAGATTTAATGAGAGTAAGACGACCACCCTTCGAGAGATACATACGTTTCCACCCCGCTAACCTCCTTTCCACTTTCTCCACAATAGCATTCCAAATGTTAATATTTTTAAACCGCGCCCCCAAAGGGAGTCCAAGATACGACATAGGTAACTGCGCAACCCTACAACCTAATATAATAGCTAGTTCCTCCACATTAGCGACCTCCCCTACTGGAATAACCTCGGATTTCCCCAGATTCACCTTCAATCCTGACACCGCTTCAAAGCATAAGAGCAACCTACGTAAATTCCTGACTTGCTCCTCAACTGCGTCACAAAAAATCAATGTGTCATCCGCAAATAACAAGTGGGACACCTGCATCTGACCAACTGTAAATCCCGCAAGCAAATTCTCCCGCCTTGCTTTCTCAAGCATCTTACTGAGGGCCTCCATTACAATAACAAACAGTAATGGAGACAATGGATCCCCTTGCCTCAACCCTCTGCTACTCCGAAAATAACCCTCGGGGGTACCATTAACTAAAACTGAAAATGATACAGTAGAGATACAGAACTGAATCCATTTACACCACTTATCCCCAAATCCACATCTCCTAAGCATATACAGAAGGAACCTCCAATTCACGTGATCATAAGCCTTCTGAATATCGAGCTTGCATAACAACCCTGGGACCCCTAGGCACTGTCTAGAATCGATGCATTCATTCGCTATAAGTACAGAATCCAAAATCTGACGACCTTTCACGAAAGCATTCTGAAACTTAGACACCACTTTCCCTAGCACCGCCTTGAGTCTATTTGCCAAAACTTTTTCAATAATCTTGTACACCCCACTGACCAGGCTAATAGGGCGAAAATCCTTAATATCAGTTGCTCCCGGTTTCTTAGGGATCAACACAATAAATGTTGCATTAGAGCTCCTCAAAAACCTGCCACGCTCAAAAAAGTAAGTGAAAACATCAATAACATCCTGTTGCACCACCTTCCAACATGCCTTATAAAATGAGAACGAGAACCCGTCTGGTCCTGGAGCCTTATCATCATTCATACTAAACACGACCTTCTTAATTTCATCATCCCCAAATGGTCTCTCCAACTAACCGGCATCCTCCTCCGTAATAGTAGAAAACTCCAATCCCTCCAACTCCGGCCTCCACTCGAACTCTCTCGATATAGGTTCTGATAAAAGTTCACCATATGAGTCCCTATATCCTGTGGATCCTCATAAGTAACCTCATCTACCTCCAACACTGTGACAGAATTATTACGCTTGTTAGAATTGGCAACCCTATGGAAAAACTTAGTGCATTTGTCTCCCTCTTTCAACCACGTAACCCTAGATTTCTGGCGCCAAGCAATCTCCTCCATTTCCACCAAACTCACTAGCTCTGCCCTTAATACTCGACGTCTCTCCTTCTCCTCCCCATCCAACCCTCGCCTCTCCTCTAGCTTATCCAGCTCTTCTATGTCTGAAAGGCACTGAACTTTACGAAAGTCCACATTGCCCACCACCTCCTCATTCCACCTCTTTAAATCCCTTTTTAACGCTTTCAACTTATGATCCAACACATAACTGGGGGACCCCGAAAATCATAAGAAGCCCACCAATTCCGTACTCGCTCCCCAAAACCTTCTACTTTCAACCACATCTTCTCAAACCTGAAAGGATACAGTGACAGTAACTTGGGATGCCCATAATCAGGAAGCATCCTAAAAACCAAGACATGACAATACTTTCTCACCAAATAAATTTTCTTCAGCATCAAATTCAGTGCCAGTGTTTAAATTTTACTGTAACTTGAATTATAGGCTTAATTAACTTGTACAGAAAGTTCATAAAAGTAACCATCAATTAGTATCGTAAATAATCGAGGCAATTGGTCACATATTTACGTTTTACGCATACGATTCACAAACACACAGCCAGTAAAATTACCAAACAGGAGTAAAGCATGAATGCTGGTTTACGAACAATTTGATCAAATCACTCATCCAGCAAAAAGTTTACTAATTAGGACTAAATTAGCAAAACACTTTTTGCATCTGAAGGTCCTCGACAAATGGCAATTCAAACAGAAGAAAAGAAAATGCAGTAAAATATCAAGTAGGGTTTAGTATTCTATATACATAATCCAAAATTTAGCTTAGGGCACACAAATCTATAATATATTAAATATCACATCAAGTGAATATTTTTTTGGACAATTTTAGCCTTACAACAATTCAATTATTTCAATAATACCTTACTTTTCATTTTTCAACATGTAATAAATACTAAAAAAATTTTGTCATGCATGAATTTTGTGTTATTAATTCTCAATTAATTAACATTCACATCAATCTAAACTCAATGAATCATGACTTGGTGAATCTTAATCTACATGAATCTAAAGTTATTATAAATGAATTTATTTCTATTCATGTATCTAGAAATTTTAATAGGTGTTTAAATTTATATATTAAAAATTAATTCTTATGTACCAAATGTATTATAAAAAGGTTACTCATTTACATTATTTCATCGTTACAAAAAAATTAAATAATAGAAGTTGGGTTTTGAGAGTACAATATTTCAAAATAACGTGCAATGCAAGTTCATCTCTGACTGGTTGGATTAAAAGCAGTAATGAAGCCAGTCTAACTGTTTGCCAACCCAGTAGACTTCCCAATAACTTCAAGATTAATATCTTGTCTATCCTGACAATGTACTCTTCCAAAAATCCACCTCACAGCTGTACTTCTGTGACTAACTAATAATTGAAATTACAGGGCAGACGTGCCAAAAATCCCTCTCAAAAGTAAACTGTCAACCAAACAAGCTCCTAAACTAACACTCACATCTCAGTGTCACCGATTTGTAAATAACTGTGTGTGCACATATTATGATCACAACAATCCAGGCTCTTACCCCTTTCTTGATCGGTACAATAATTTGTACTCTCCCATGTAGGACACCACTGAAAGCGGACAAAACAGAAGTACATGACTGAGAGCTTATTTGACGGCACACCCAGGTGAAATGATTACTTGATTCAATAAATACGACAATCTTACAATTAAGACAAGAACACGGGTTTTTGCAAGTTCCAGATTATCATGTGACGAGTCCCACAACCAAAGACAGATCTGATCCTAACAACGAAAGGAATATTCAAGCAGCTATAACCCAAAATAGCAAAAGGAATATTCAGATATGCATGGTGCTATAAATAACAATATTGAAATGTCAAAACGAGAACCACAAGCCTGCGTGATGAAGCTCAGTACTACAAATTTTCTTTGGAGACATTTGCCCCCACAAGTTTAAACCGAAATGTGGCTCATGGATATATATTCACTTAAACCTACATTGCTACATGCAGAAATAAACAAGCTAGCTATCAATTTAGTGAAAATCAAAATTTTGATACGTGCATTTCAGAAGTTGAATCATTTTAATCACTTCGCGAGAAGAACAATAAGTTCTCATTTACAGCAGGACAATTACAAAATAAAATTGACATGCAGACCACATACGGAAATCCACAGTCTAAATTCAATTTATTTCCATGAATCTCCAGTAAATCGAGTTTTTTCTCCAATAAACAATCCAAAAACAGATCGAATACAAACAACCAAACCCTAATTACAAGATTCACCCAAATCACACAATACCAGAATGGACTGTTTACCTTCTTGTACTTCTTCACCAGCCGCGCGTTCCCCGAACACCTGAGAGAATTTCCACTCGAGCGGCAGGGGTGGACCAGCCGAAGCTGCCGCCACATCTCCACCATCACAACCGTTCATCTTCACCACCTTTTCTTACTCTTACCAGTCGGCAATCGAAAATCAACTAATAAACAATAAAAACAACTAATATTTCAATTTTCACTTCATTAATCCGGAAAAAAAAAAGGTTTGATTTTTCCTAAAGAAAAAAAAAAGGCAATCGGGTATCTGGGTTTGGGTTTAGGGTTAAGAATTGGAGGGCCCGTCAGAAAAGGTGAAAGATCGGAGAATAAAACTCATGAAAATTGTTGGATTCAGATTCAACCATTGTCAGTAAACATAAATATGCGATATACATTACATCTACCAGTACAAAAAATTATTTTTTCCCGATTTTCTCTCTCTATATATACATACAGAAGTAATACAAACGAGTATCAAATTATCAATCCGTTCTTTTCTTTATTTTATTATTTCTCCTCTGAAAGGAACCCAAAAGCACTGTTCTCCCCCTCCTTCCTTCTCTATTGAGTACTATTTCTCTCTCTACCCCGAACTTACTCCGCCCGGGTCCCGGGCCCCCATTATTAATAGGGAAAATTACACAATTAACTTCCAATCTATTGCCTTAATAGAAACTTAGTCCTCAACTTTTAAAAAGATGCAAATTAATTTGCAATATTTGTTTATAGAAATTGTCTAAATCTTCATTTAGTTGAACATGGAACACCCTGTTTGATTTTGCTGCTAAATATTAATTATTGATTTTGACTTAATTTTTTATTAACTTTTTAGCCAAATCAAACAGGGGCTTAATCATCATACACAAGCTCCAATTGGAAAGAAAAATAGTTTCATAGAATTGGACGCACAAGATTTATATGATAATATGAGAGAAGTGATAAAGATTATTAGTCATTATTCCGAACCTTTAACCCTTATATTAATTTTGCTCCAAGCTTCATATTTAGTTGTTATCGATGAATTTGGAACTCGGAATGTTTTAGCAATTATAAGGTCTAAAAGGTGAAGGTGAAATCAAACCATCAAAACCCTCGTGTGTGTCTT